TGCTGTAAAAGAAAATGTATCTTACTGAAGAGAGATTACAAGGCATATCAGAGCCTGAAAAGTCTATATTGAAATGCTTGTTTTATTATTGTTGCATTGGAGTGACTGAAAATACTGTTTCAAAGGAGTGTATGCAGGTGTCATATCTACACGTGTATTACTCATACACACACAAACACACACACAGGTTTTACTTACCCTTAAGCCCAACTTTAATAGAAAATGCATTTATCTTCCTCCTTTCATTTAATCCTGTATATTGCCTGCTTGAAAAGCAGCAGGTTGCTCAGAAATTTTACTGCCCTCCTTGGGGTTACCCCGCTAACACCAAGCTGGCTCCCAGGGCTCTGTGACCATATGAGCGCAGCAGGACAGGTATGTTGCAGCTGACACGCACTGCCCAGATCTCTCCATCACCTCTGGCTCCCACGCTGTGCCTGTCTGACAAGCCCCTGGCCCTGAGCATGACAATTGCTCCACTGATGGTGTACTCGCTTGCAATTAGATCTGTATTTCAAGATGGGCAGCATCAGAGCATCCCTCTTGCTCAAGACCCTCTGCTACACTGTGTGTTAGATAACATGGCAGCAAAGGGAGGACACACTTTTTCCTGCTCATGGGACTGCAGCCTCGCTGCGGTGTTGTTGCAGGAATGATTTTGTGGATATGCGGCTGAAAACCAGCTATGATCCTCCCAAGTGTGGCAGTAGTATCTATCACTTTCTGTAAGTATATCCATAACAGAAATGAGACCATAATGGCTTGCCTTTGACAGGGAGCACAGACCACCTTGTATTAATGGAGTAATAAAAGCAATCGACCTGGAGTGCACTCATCTCATTGCTAGGAGCATGTAGACCAGGTGATAAAGCTGTTGCCTTAGGGAAGTAGTGCTGCATTGATGCCACGCAGTTTAAAAGCCCTACTAAACCAAGCTCTGATAATTATTAGGATACCCCAATGCTTTTGTTAGTGTTAAAATACTGCAAACGTTAGATTAGCTGACAGAAAACGATACAGTTTGTGTATATACTACAGCCTACACTCCACTTGAAAGCTATACTGAATCATGTCAGCCTGGTTTTAGGCTATACAAAGACATCTTGAGATATTTTGAGAGAGCTGATTTCCAAAGATGAGGGGACATCTGCCATGCTAAGCTAGGAGCGCAGTATATAATGAGAAACTGCCACAGACTTTGCTTCATGAAGACGTGGATTTGTTTTAAACAAAGACTGTTATATATTTACTGTCAATTTCTATTGTATAAGAATTCTGCATTCTTTCTAATAACTCCAGCAGTTTCCATGGGACTGTTTAGAGAGATGAGTCTAACGAAGGAACAGATACTGTGCTGGTCTCTCTGTCAGGTGAAAATCACAGACCATCATATTGCACGCTCTGGAGCACTCTTACACCAGGGAAAACTGGAGCATCTCGACCTGCTCTGCCACCAGAGCCAGGATGTTCCTGAGCCCTGAGCGAGATGCAAATAGCTGGTGTGAATCCATTTCATGTCCTTCAGTGACTCATGGCCAGAGAAGCACTGGCATCCTGCTCTAGGAAGGGTCATTCACATGCCCTGCCCTACAGGAAGGGGACACAGGGAGAGAAGATGGAGCTGGAACAGCAACATGAATCACTGGACATGCGGAAAATAAACGAGATGTTGTTAGAGCTATGGAGAGATGGAGCAAGCCACTGGCAGCCCTGCACCTGAACATGCTGCCTACAGCTCTTTGTGGAGTTTGCTCCTTAGGCTGACAGGCACAGACAACTGGTGTGTTAAGCCAGAAGAATAAAGTGTGATGGGCTCATGACAAAAGCTTAGAAACTCCACTCTGGCTGGTAGTGTGGTCCTGGTATTTTCCTGGGAGCTTTTAGCTTTCCACCTCATGCTTGTATTAGGAACAATGGCCCATTCTCTGCAGATGGGATTTTTATTTTATTATTTATTTTATTTTATTTTATTTTATTTTATTTTATTTTATTTTATTTTATTTTATTTTATTTTATTTTATTTTGTTTTGTTTTGTTTTATTTTATTTATTTCTGAAGGAGGCTTGTGTCTGAGTTCAGGACAGAGTGAGAAGGCAGGGAGATACATATGGCCATAATACATTGTTTGGTTAGTCCAAGCTCTGCTACTCTCAAGCTCTGCACTTGTCCTCTCTAAGGATTCAGTTCTGCTTGTGGGAAGGCTCACTCCAATTTTCCAGGTCTTTTCTGAGCTCACCACACCACTTTTTCTGAGTTACTACTAATAACAGTTAGCCACGGTACCTTACTCTGAAAACTGGTGCAGCCACAGGTTAATTAACATAGAAGAAGGCAGGTACAGGAAGGTTATGCATATGTCAGTACCTGTCTCATGTCACTGCAATCCATAGACATGTGGCTAATGAAAGTCATTACCCTTTATGAGGCCGTGTGGTCAATGCCATGTCCCTGTGGGTCAGAACTGTTGGAAACACAAGCTTGCCCTTGTCATAGGAAGCTATATAGTGAAGATCATGGTATTTTTTTTTGCCTTATATAGGCACTTGGAAGCAACAAATTTCAGCAGAAAGCTTCATACCCACGCAACCATATCAAGACATGCATCTGGCAATGAAGGAAGAAAAGTTCCTCGGTGCTCAGCTTCTAAGAATGGAATTAAAAAACACAGCAGGAAAGGTAAAGCAGCCCAGAGCCCTACAGACCCTGCCTTTTTGACTTGGGCATTTTGTTCTTTATCCAGTGTCTCCCAGCAGCACATACTGAGGAATTCTGCAGTGCGTCCTCTGAAGCACCGAGTGATCCTGGGGTAGAGGCAAAAAGATACCTCTGACAGTAAAACTGCCTCGTGAGGTTATGAGAGGAATTCTCCAGGTTATATACTGCTGTAACAACAAACTCGTTATTGCTATTATTTTTGGAGGGAATTCTTGAAGAGAAAGCAAGCTTTGAACAGCTCTGTAAAAGTACAAACTGGCTCCATCTTCAGGTGGCAGATGAGGTGACAGACACGCTCGGTTTGGGAAAGCAGATTGCAAACAGCAAGAATCTGCTCCTCAGCCCTGTGCTGAAGACTTGCCCACTAAAAGTAAATCTCTCTCTTCTTCTTTTTTTTTTTTTTTTTTTTTTTTTTTTTTTTTTTTTTCAGCTTCTCTTTCCAAAAATAAAGATTATTGAGTATGTGATGGTTCTGTGCATACGGACCTTCAGGGTGGAAGGATTTTCTAGTCCTTCTCCCCCTTGGTTTTCCTGGAAGGTGGCCCTGTGGCCTAGCTCGAAAAGTTCTAGATTCCCATGTGTGATCTTCAGTAAGGCCATGAACAGGGCATGAGAAGTATGTAGGTTTGGCTTAAATGCAGAATAAAGAGCTCCATATCTGAGCTGGGATAGTTGTTTGTGGTTGTTGGTGTTGGCGCTGAGGGTCCATGACTGCTACCCTTTCCCTTCCCTTCCTGCATTGAACTGGATCATCAGGGTGCTGGAGCCCGACAGGGTAACCAAAAGGCCTGGAATCTTCACCTGTGCACTCTGTAGTCTGTCAGTACTGAGGCATGAAGTAGTATGGAGGAATAAATATTAATGCACTTGTGTATTACACCTAGCGGTGCTCAAAACTTCTTCCCTGAACAAGTTTTGATTCTTTTACAAAATCCCTACTTTGCCAGCCCCTGTGACAATACCTTTTCCTTCCCTTGGAGGCCCAGGACTCCAGCTATGTGTGTGTCACTTCTGCACAGCCCCATTTCCCTTCAGCCAGGCATGACAAGAGCTCCAGCTGTGCGGGGCTGATTGGCTGCAGCAGCTCCACGTTTGGTGTGGGCTCCCTCCTCCTGTCCCTGCTTCGGCTCTGCTTTTGCAGAAGTCAGGAGTTCCCACTGTTCATGGCCACTGGAAAGGGCAGCGGTGACCTGGACACGAAGGCTCTGCTTCTATTCCAGCTTTAAGAAAAAAGACCCGGGCACTGTTTTTCCCATGCCGCTGGATGTTCTGCAGCCTTCTGGGATGAGGTTTTTCCTCCAGTATGCTGGCTGTTTTTTTGCTTTTTTTTCTACTGGGTTTTTGATAGTATCTACCTGGACAGACTGCTGGATGGTGAATGCTGATGATTCCCTGGAGGTAAGATCTTTCAGAGGACCAGATCTCCAAATCAAATGTGTCCTAGGGAGACCGTGGCATCGTTGCTCCACTCTCATCTACATTTCCCCGGTTGGGCTGGATGAAAGTGGATGAAAATGAAAGAAATGACTCTGGCATGAGCAGGGGAAAAGTGGTCATTTTGTGTAATTCTCTCTGCCAGGCTCTGCTCTCAGGAAAAGTCTAGAGGCTCCAGATTTAAATGTGCATGAACTGGAGCACATTACCCAGTATCTCCAGCCTGCACAGAAATTTTGGAGATGTTTCTAGTTCTGTGGGTCAGTCTTCTTGGTGAAGAAATCCAACATGTACATCTGTGCTCCACAAGCATTTTTCTTAACAGCCATTGAGCTCTAGGGCTAACAGAAATGTGTGGGGACCATGGGGACTGCTGTCAGATCCAGCACTCAAAAATATTTCCTTGAACCTGTGCAGACATTAGCACTTTCGTGTTAGAGAACGGTTTTGGCAGAAGTAAGCTGCAAGAAACAAAGGGGCAGAATGGCACATATTTGCAAGCTGTGCCCCAGACTCCAGACCCCAAATCATCCCTATTTCCCTAGGACGCGGTACTGCAGTTTTCTTCCCCAGACAGGCATCATTTTCTGCACATTGAAGGGCTGCAGGGCCACAGTGTGGAAATCTGTTGTCTGGAAAACTGGGTGCTTTGTGCTGAGGTGAAACACTTCCCAGGACAGAGACTTTGGCTGAATTTATCAGGAGGAAACTTTCTATCTGCAGGCTAGCAGAGGAAACCAGAGGAGCTCCTCTGCATTCAGTGACGGTAATGGGATGTTCAGCAGTTTGAAGGAAGCACAGTTGAAAGGGCATAACAGGCTCAAGGCTGCTGACTTGAGAGGAACTGCCAGTGAACCCCCAGCAGGAAAAAGAGTGTGGACCCACTAGTACTGGCTGGGATATCGCTCTTCGTTTGTCATCCTAATTTGGGAGTTATTTTAGATTAATTTCAGGAAACGTGAATCGTTTGGGATCAGCTGAGGATATCAGTATGTTCAGAAAAGCCAAATGGATCCCATATTGAGGCATCATTTCCGAGCAAAACGGAGGAGGGACACCCAATCTTGAATAAAGTGAGTCCGGAAAAGAACTCAGCCAGATACCCCAAGGCTGTGTAACCTTGTCTTCTTGCCACAAAGGCACCTGTGCTGGGCTGTCCCTAAGTGCTCCATTAACACCCAGTGTGGTTATTAGCAGCCTCCACTCTCACATTCCTGCTCTGAGTGTGAATACTAAATACTGGAGCAAAGTGCCCCCAGCCTTAATACCTGACCAAATGACCTCCCTAATGGCCCTAATGACTCATTGCCTCTCACAATATGGGAATGCAGGGAAACTGTCCATGGCCAGGAAAGCCTGGAGTGCACAGTAACTCCTTTTTTCAGCTAGGAAAAGGGTTATTCAGACAACTTTCAACTTCAGGAGAAAGCACCTCCATCCTCCAGCACGGAAATCCTTCTTGCCTTTGACCTTGGCCTACAGCATCTCATCTCCACTGCAGAACTCTGGATCCAGCAAGATGCAGCACCACAGAGCGGGGCTCAAACTCTTGCACTCACTGCGAACATCAAGGCAAACCTGGGCTAGGTTTTGCAGTGGTTTGTGCTGGAAAAAGCCATAAACTGCTTCCTAGCGAGCACTGTTGTGTGCACTCAGTCCCTCCCTGTTGTGGATGGATTAAAAGTCTCACCACCACTGTTAAACAGTGCCTGGTTCACTCTCGTGCTAGGCTCATCATCACTGTGTGCTGGCACCTTTTACAGTGCGGTAAAACACCGTGACTAACGTCTCTCACATGTTTGTCTTCTGTGCTTTCCCCAGAAGGGTAAGCGTGTGCTTGTTCTGTCATTTTTTATATTAGATTTATTTTAGTAGTAATTATACATCATGCATAGGATATGATTATATATATTACAGTCATTATGCAGTTTATGTTTTACATGCATACCTGTGTTAGGGAAAGCAGGTCGTGGTGATGCGTTTCATAATCAGAATGGGAGATGAGGAGTTCTGGCCAGAAATTGCAGCTCCTTGGGGAGTCCTTGGCTGGGCTCAGGAAAGCTGGAGTGGATTTGCTACAAGAAGAAAGAGGTGATGGGGTGCTACCAAAATGGTGCATGGCTGTGGCCATGGGATGACAGCATCAGTGCTGTGTCCCTATGATGGCCCAGGTGGCCCTGACCCCTCTGTTTGCAGCAGCAAGTTTCCACGTGCCAGGTGCGTGCCTGCCCAAAGGCAGCTGCCCAAGGCTAGCTGAGGAGCAGACTAACAACCAGAAGGACAAACAGGACACAAAGCAGAGGGGAGAAAGGGATGTCCAAGGAAGTCAAGAAACTGATAACAAAATCTGGAATAGTTCAGCAGTGGCCCAGGCTAGCCACAGGTCTCCCCCTCCGACATCGGCTCCCATCACTCCTGCATCAAGCAATGAAACTTTTATCCCTGGCTGTGCATGTGCTGCAGAATTCCTTGGTTATGCTCATCTTCTGTGCTAGCAAGAGTAGATGACAGGTGGCACATCCCAAGAATAAAAAAAAATATATATATCTTCTTTTTTTTTTTCTTCCAGTCTAGGAAGGGGGTACGTTCACAAGCCAGATCATGATGAATTTTTTACCTCTAGGACCTGCCTCTGTTTTACCTGGAAGCAAATGAAGCCTGGAATGCCATTAGCCTCTTTATAAATAATTTAGATGAGGATGCTGCCTGTAAGATTTAAAAAACAATACTAATGTGAGCAAGTGAGGAAGTGCATGAGAGTAGTAGCTGAATATAGAGTAGTACGAATAAGCCTACGGAGATTTGAGATGAATGTGAAATGGTATAAACACAAGTGGAACAAAATGCAGTTTAATAAAAATATGTTAATTTCAAGCACAGCCCAAATGCTGATAAATAAAGACCAAAGAGGGGCTGCAGCTGTATTGAGGGCCACAGTAAATGCTTACGCCTATGCAAATTGGTTAACATGAAACTGTTCTCTTGAAAAATAAGAATCAATGAAAACAGGTTTTTAATTTATTTTTTTGGGGGGGGATATTTTTCATTTAACTTGCTCCCAAATTCTGAGAAATTGTAAGTAGTTTTCATCTTCACAAAACAAAACATGTAGATTATTTTCATTGAAACTTGAATAACAACTTTTTGCCAACCTGAAAGAGTGAATCATTTTTAGTCACCTTTAATCCACCCTGCAGTATCACGGAGAGCTTGTACAATTTGTACACTGTGCTGTGAAGAAAGTACTGTGGCTGGCTACAGGTTTCAATACATCACAGATTAGACTTTATTAAGCAGCTGAGATGTGTTATTATCTGCTTTGAGATTTACAAAGCGTAGGAAAAATGAATTTTTCACATCACCCAAACCAGCACGGTTCCTGTCCCCTGCGTGAGACCCATTCCCCCTAAATTTCTCTTTCCACTAGCAGCAGTAAGGTGCCCCTGGCAGCAGCAGGGGCAGGCTGGAGCCCAAAGCTGCACCCACATTATCTCCGCTCCTTGTATGAGCAATCCCAGGAATGTTTTAGAGGCGCTCGTTGCCATATTTGCATTGGTAATTAAAATGCCTCCCATATTAAAACGATTTATGAAAGGCTGGGCTGGGAATGCTATCTAAGGCTTTGGGAGGACAGAAAGGATGAGCCATGATGCTACTGCAAGGTCTGCGAAGTCTGGATGTCTCAGCGATGAGTGGCCGGGTGCATCGGTCCCAAAGCAGCGCAGTGGGAGCCCCAGGGCCAGGATTAACACTGGCTTCCTCTGCTTTTCCAGCTGGTGTTCAGGGCTGAGTCACTTGGGGCAGCCCTTCAGAAACATTTGGGAAGGGGCTCACCCCTTGCTCTGCAGCAAAACGCTCCTGTATTGCGCCAAGGCCAGCTCTCCTGGTGTGAGGCTGGTCCCCGTGAGTCACGAGCGGCTCCGTCCTCCTGAGCCTTCTCTGCAGGAAGGTGGGGGAAAGGGAGTGTGATGGCAAACTCATGGGTCGTCTGGTCCACAGCCCTGCCCAGCTCAGCCTGGGCAAGCAGCTGGCAAGGCTGCAAGAGCCGCAAGGCTGCAAGAGCAAACATCACCTACCCCCAGCTTCTCCCAGAAATTCCCTTCAGAATTTGTATCCTTCCCAAAATGATGGTTTTGTGCCCCAGTGTCTCATCTGAATCTATTTCATTCTAATTTAAAATCATGAGCAGGGACATAGAAAACTTTGCCCTTTCTCTCCATCCTGACCCTTTTTTAGTTCTTCATACTAAACAAGTCCAATGAGCCATTGACATAACTGCACCAGGGTTCCTGCTGAACAGCCTAGCTGCCTGTCTGCTGTGTTGGTGGATATAGTAATTTATGGTCTTTTTTTCTCCTCTTAACCTGTAGGTGAGTACAAAATGCCGTGGCCTGTGGTGGGAATGTGTCACAAATGTTTTTGATGGGATCCAAACTTGTGATGAGTACGACTCCATCTTCGCTGAGCACCCCGGTACGTAAGAGATAAAGGTATTTCCATGAGCAGTGGGGAGACCTGAGTGAAGAACAGGGAGACAAAAAGAGCAGATAATTTGGTGTACTCATGTATTGCAGCCATCTTTCTTTTCTCAGTTGGGTATTACTCCCAGGGGAAGCTGGAGAAAGCTTCACTCCAGGAAAAAGTGTTCCCACAGGACCTGACCCCATTACCCACCCACATGGCCATTCCTCACGTGCTAGAATAATCTGCTTCTGTCCTGCAGTGAAGCTGGTGCTGACCCGAGCCATGATGATCACAGCAGATATCCTGGCAGGATTTGGATTTCTCTTCCTTGTCCTGGGACTGGATTGTGTGAAATTCCTTCCGGACGAGCCACTCATCAAGCTGCGCATCTGCCTGGTGTCTGGAGTTACCTTGCTCATCGCAGGTATTCCACTGCACCCCTGCCCTGCACAACACCCTTTAGCAAAAGGGGGAAGCTTTAAAGCCTTCCCTTATTTGGGGACAGGAGTTGGTGATTTTCTAGAAGGTAAACACAGGAGAAGGATGTTTATTTGCTTTATTTGTGCAATATAGCTTCCACTATTCACCACCTGCCCCTAGCAGCACATAGTTGAGTTTATCTGCTCTCATTTCATTTATTGGCCAGATGCCTTGGCTGCTGTGTTGACTGACTTCCATTTACTGTGGTTTGCTGTGAGGAACTCAGTGTTGTTGATAGAGCAAAGAGGCAAAGAGGCTGAAGGATTAGAAATGCCCTGGCACCCTGGTTTGGTTCCTTGTTCTGGCACAGACTGTGTGACCTTGGGCAAGTCACTTAGCCCCAGATCTCTGCAGTTGATTTGTAATAAAAGGATAATAGCACAGCTCTGCTTCCCAGGTGATAAGTACCTGGCTGACCTAGGTGCTTTGCTGTTACAGCCAGTGGGAGGATTTTAAGCACAAAAATAAATAGACAGCTGACTAGGTACCAGATCTTTTCATTTGACTTTTTGCCAGTATTAACCATCTACCTCTGCTTTAGCATATGCTGATTTAACATGCAACTCACCCCAGCTACTGGGAGCATGTGTACTTTGGGGGGTTCTTTTAAACATCCTCTGTGTACCTCACAAAGTTGACTTGAAAAATGCTGTTAAAGTTCAGAAAGTCAAAGGAGATTAGAAAATTAAAATCTCAAAGCAACTTTACAACAAGCCAATAAGCTAAGAAAGGAGGAGCTTTCTGCCTTTTAATGCAAAACTCTAAGTGCTACCAACTGGAGCTTATAGTGGCTGGGGCCACGAGGTACAAACGCTGTCTGAAAGGGCTCAAGCTGACATCAGTAGGGGCAAGGGTAAATCAGCCAAAGTAACTGGGCTGAGACAGAGCAGGGGCCAAAACCTCATGTTCAAGGAAGTTCTTCCTATCCTAAAGTCTGCCCCAGAAGAGAGCAGGCTGTAGCTCAAAATTTTGTATTTGTGGTCTCTTTGAGATCACTGCAGCCTGTGTGGGAGCTTCGTGTGGCACCTCCCTCCCGTCCTGCAGGTCTCCCAGGCATTACTGGCTCGGTGTGGTACGCCGTTGACGTCTACGTGGAGCGCTCCTCTCTGGTCTTCCACAACGTGTTTCTGGGCATCCAGTACAAGTTTGGCTGGTCCTGCTGGCTCGGCATGGCGGGGTCGCTTGGCTGTTTCTTGTCCGGGGCCCTGCTCACCTGCTGCATGTACCTCTTCAGAGGTGAGGAGCTCTTCTAGGGCTGAAACGCACCAAAGAGACGGATGTTTCTCAGGGCCTACTACAGGCACATGGCATCGGGAATGTCCTTCAGGCATGTCCTTCAGGATGGTTGCTCATCCCCAGTTGCAGCATCCTCAGCTGTAAAATGGGAATAGTGCTATTTCAGCAGCACTATAAAGCACATCAAGGGCTTTGGGTGGGAGCTGAGGTGTAAGTATGACATAAAATGTGTTATTACATCATATCTTTGAATGCTTCTTTCTCTGTATTTCGAGGCTTTACAAGCTGAAAGTCACCAAGCACTTGTTAGCAGATCCTATTTCTTTCCTCACAGAGACCAGCTCTGGAAGGCTTCACCCTGCTTACTCCTTGAGGAAAGGCTATTCCTCAGCTGGGACAGTTGTAACCAATGTGCACCTGCCATCCTCACAAACAGCTACTGCCAAAATGTATGCCGTGGATACGAGAGTGTGAGGAGGAGGCAAATGCACCAGAAAGAGCTCCACTCCAGTGGGTTGTGCAGGAACCTGAGCTCCTGGGGTTGTGGCATAGATGAAAAGTTGAATTTTGACAATGTACTGTGTGTTACAATATTTGCATTATGAGAGCTTCACAAAAATTGCCTTCAAGAAAGTAATCTCCAGGAAGACTTTGCTTTAGGGATTCCAGTTTTCTCGAGTACTGGGGCTGCTTGCATAAGCACAGACTAAAATAGCCAACACAAAATCTTCCAGCTTTTGGCTCATCACTATCAGCGCGAGTGAAATAAATCAGCTGCTCCTGGAATCAGCCACCAGTGTTCAGTGTGAAGATCCCCAGACTGCAAGGTGGATCTGCTCCCTGTCTGGCAATGTGTTGAAAGAACATACAAAGCAGAAAATACATGCTTCTGTGGAGAGAGGGACTGATCATCTGGCAAACATCTGGGCCCCGTGCAGCCAGCACGGGGGATGTTGCTCCTGAAGGTAGCTGGGGAGCTCAACAGAAGAGCTGTGTTAAATGCCTGGCCGCATTTTTTGGCCCATAAACCTCTGCACTGAGGAAACACTGCAAATTCAGGTGCATTCTTTCCTGTAAAATACAGATTTTCTCTATAGGTGCTAAAATGTACATTAGAGATTCACTAGATTCACTAAGATCTAGAAATTGCCAGCTTCTTTCTGTTTAGTAAAAGTTTTGCCCGGACAGTGAGTGAAAATCCAAAACCTGGCCTTGTGCATGACAATGAATCTATACCAGCTAGAAAGCAGGATAAAGGATAGTAAAAACTTCTGCCTCTTTCCATCAAAGGGTATTTAAATCCAGTTCAGGACTGCTGTCCCCTGCTGCAATCCAGGCTGCCTTCAGCACATTCCCTAAGGATGGGTGCAACAGCACCGACAGCCCTTCAATGCCTCTGAAGGAAAAAGAACTTGAGACATGGCTTTGTTAGGTTTGGTGGGACCTGCCCAAATCCAGTCCTTTCTGCCATGAGCACCACTTTATTCAGTGATGGGCACCAGAGAGTGAGAAAAGGCTTTCAGCACAGAGAGGTACCTGCCTGGGGTGGTGGAGAAACATCAGGGGAGTTTCATTAGGGGTGTGTACACCCTTGGGAACAGAGGGCCCACCAAATGGAGGCTTCCTCCACTGACCACTTGGTGGACTGGAAGGAAAAACTCCTTCCTCTGATACAAAGTGAAGCTTGATGGCCACAGGCAGATGGGATGGAGTGGGTTGAGTCCCTCTGAGAGCCCCTATAATGGAAGATGAGGGGCTTAGTCCTCTCATGGGTTATTCATGGGTTATCTTTTTTTTTTTTTTTTTTTTTTTTTTTTCCCTGGGAAATTTTTTTATTGTTCAGAAGAGGAGGAACAGTCGGGTATCACCTGCTAATACAGGTGTGCTGGCAAATCTCAGGCCATTGACTTCTCCTGCTCTTTTTCTGGGGTATGCTGTAGCTGGGGAGACTTTTGGGCCTTTGTCCTGATGGTCTTCAGTTTGCTTTAGGATGCCAAGAAGTGTTTTGTGACTTGCAACACATGGGTCACAACAAGCGATCATTCAGTAGACACTTTGGGATTAAACGTTTAAACTCTGGTCAAGGGTAAATATAGAGGACTGATCTCATTTGTTCCTTCAGCCTTGTGCTCCTCCAGGGGTACCAATAAGGCATATGCATACCCCAAATACTGTCTTAACTCAGGGTGCACATTCCTCAAATATACACGTACACAGAGATTGTTGCATAAACATTCACGAGACTTTCTTTTCTTCCGTATATATGTGAAATAAGGGTTAATTCAATTCTTCCTGTGCTATACAGTAGCTTTTGAGGATCTACATCCTGCACAAGAGGGCTAAGAAAAGGTCACAGCAGCCCTTAGGTTTGCTGGGTTAATGTTTTGTAACAACCATTCCAGTGCTGCATTGGTTCATTCAAATCCCGCTGACACTCCATCTGATGTTTTGATCAGTTGTTAATATTTAATTGTTGATTCACTGATTGATTGAACTCTGATTTCATGACTGCAGTGTGCAGTCTTCCTTAGCTTGTCATGATGCCACAATGCCAATCTATTTTAGTATGGTCATTTACTCATTTGCAACAAATTCCCCCAGAAAGGACAGAGGTCTTCCTTTCTGTTTCAAAATCACAACCAGTTGCCAAGACTTGAGGCATTGCAGCTGAGCTCAGGTATTAATGTGTTTCTTTAGCTCTTTCAAATTCCTATCTGCATCCTACTCAGCTCACAGGAGGAGTGGGGCTGGATATAACAACAGACCACCCTTGCCTTCCTGACAGCCACTGGTGGCTTCACAAGACTGTTCAGCTGCACTTTCCAGCCGAGGCTCAACATTTAATCTTTTGGTTCCAACAGGTTTTTAGCCTTCTCCCACTTTTCACTGACTCCTAAGGAGCGTTTTTGCCCATTGGAGCATCTAGTCCACTTCAGTTTCATCGTTTAGTTTCTGAGGCCGCAGACAGAGGTGGGGACTGAGCCAAGACCTCCCCTTCTTCCTCCCTGACATCTCCTCAACATCAGCATCTCCTCAACCCTGGGGCTCCCCATTGCCCTCCCTACTCACATCACACAGTCGAACGCAGTCTGCCAGGGCTCCAGATGGCCACAGGTTATGGAAATTAGTAATGTCTTGTAGGTAAGCTCTTTGCAAAGCTGATTTCATACCCTACAAATAGGTATTGATTTCCCATTTTGATCTATGCAAGCAAGAAATAGCCAATAAAACAATGACATTTGCAGTCATTGTCCTTCTCTGCCTGCAGCATTTCGTCCTCTCGCCATCTCAATGAGCCTTGTTCACAAGGGCTCTTACCCCAGCACTAATGAGGACTCAATCTCCTGTCCTTGTGAACTAACATCTCCTCATGCAGGTACACGGATATGTTCCAAAATATGGATTTCCCCACTTTTTGCATGCATTGCAATGTGTTTTTTTTGTTTTTTTTTTTTTTTTTGTGTGTGTGTGTGTGAATGCCATAGATCTGAACAATTATTTTCATTACATAAGAATGTTACTTCAAAAATCTGTTTTCCTTACAGATTGCCATATTTTTGAGGTAATATAAATGCAGTTGCCATTGAGTGTCAGCTTCCTCTAACACCACTTCCAAGTTTCACCCAGAACGGTGTTTTGCCCTGATTCCTGGAGGGAAATCATTGCTCTGTTGTAGGAAACCAGCCCCTAGGACAGTGGGGTGGATTACAGAGGCTGCCCAGACTTTCACCATTACCTGCAGATTCCAGACCCCAGTGCACACCAGTAGCAGCATCTCTTTGAGAGTTGGCAGACTTTATCTCTCGCCACATCTACTTCTAGTTATTTTTTTTTAAACTTGCAAAGAGAGAAAAATAAAATCACACCAAGAAAACCAGGCTTTCTCTCTCAACTGGGGCTGGGACCCCACAGCTTGCTCTTCTGCATCTTTTAACTACTGTGGGCAAGCAACTAATGACCGAAATATTCTGCCCAAGCACTGCTACAGGGAGCAGAGGACAATTTTGTCCATGTAGCTACTGGGTTCCTGCCGTAAGATGCCTTTGAGCAAGAAAGAAAGAGCCAGAACTTTCCTATCTAGTGACCCAGAGAGAGAGAGAGCATCTGCCCGCAGCCTCATCCTCTTCCTTTCACAAAAGCCTTCAGATGACAATCATAATAATAATAACAATAAAACACATAACAGATTAAAGAATATTTCTATTTTTTCACATCTTTTGTTTGCAGCCCTCCTGGCAGCCCTGGCCAACCCCCCATTATGACTCAGCTGCCTTTCTTTTTGCTCTGTTTTGCCCGAGAGCCAGTTTATGACTTTATTATTCAGCTGTTGACGTGTGGAGGTGAAAGTCCAGCCCTTCACCTCCCCACATTCCCTTTGTCTTTTGCTTCCAGATGGTCACCAAGCAATTATCTCCTCTGCTCTGCTCCCATTTCCCCCTGTCAAGGCTTGCTGATGAGTTCCCTCACAAATACTCCTGCCTTCCATAGTTCTCCGGGCTTTTCTAGAACAGTTTGCTATTTCCTCTCAAAGTCAATGGGAAATATAAATTACAAGATGGGTGGAAGTCAGAGGGTCACAGCAGAACAAGTGCATTTCCAAAGTAGACCCAACTCCAAAGGTGATGAATTATAAAGAAATGGCTCATCTTTCCTCATAACTCAGGAACCATCAGCCAAACTGCAGCAACTGACCTTGTTAAGGGCTGAGTGCTTACAAAAGCAGAATATGCCAAGCCAAGCTGCTGCTGTTGTAAGGATGGGAACAGGGGGCTGGAAAAACCTCACCCACTCTTGCTGAAACACCGGGGAGTAGGGGAGCGGGCTGATAGAGGCAGCTTTTGTGGGGCAATGTGTGGTTGGTGTGGCCATCCCAGCTACATTGCCTGAAGGAAAGAACTCATCCCTTTCTCCATTTGCATGGCCAGGAAGCCAAGGACCAGGTCAGGTCCTCATGAACTAGGCTGCCCTGCCCAGGGAGCCATCTGCCCCCCTTCGGGATGCTCTCCATCTCCACCCCAAGCCAGCAGCAAGATGGGTTTATACCAAAAACCCACCAGCTTGCCCCAAAACAATCCCACATGGACCCTTTGTGGAGATGGCTCCTGGTCATCTGCAGATGCTGGAATTCCCCAGGGCTCCTGCTGTGTTGCACAAGTACAGCAGTGCACATGCAGGTGCTCCATGCTGGTGGCTGCTGCTGGAGCCTGGCTTTGTAACCACTACCTCACTTTACTGTAAGCCACTTGCTGTGATTTTGATTGAATTATTTCATTTCTTTTTTAATAATTAAAGCACCTCAAAGATGAAGCAGAATGCAGTTGAAGGCATGCTAGTAGCGCAGGAACACAAACCTGCTCCCGGGAATGTTTCTGCAAGAGCAGCAGCCGCCTCGGAGCACTGCTGAAAGTCTCGCTTGCCCTCTGTTGGGTGGCTGGGGAAGGATTTACCACCTCGGAAACAAATGCTGAGTGCTGGACCTTGTGAAAGAGGGACTCGGAGTGATGGAGGCACTGCAAACAGATCAGTCCTTGCTTGTTAGCCTCTCCAGTCATCTGATTAGAAGGTGACATTCAGTGAAATTAGAGGTGGCAATGTATTTAGAGCTGAGCAATTAATAAGCAGGAGACAGCAGTGTTTTATGCAGCATGTAATGCAGACAGCCTGTGGAGTTCACTTCCACAAAAGGGTCACTGGAGCAAATGCCGGGTGGAGGTTGGAAGGAAGTGGTGGCTGATTTAATGCCCACGAGCAGGCTGAGCAAGCTGAAGTGACAAACATAATCAAATCTCATGCTTCAGGGCATAAATTGAAGGGGTTGAGTGGTGGAAGCAGTTATGTATGTAAGAGGTCTGATCCCGAGAGGTGCTAATCACCTGCAATTCTCACTAAGTTCAGCAAGCGAAAGGAGACTCAGGAACTGCTCGACTTCTCCGCTGGCTGACTCCGTACTTGCTAATTTTCCTTATTAATAAACCCTGCAATATTTCAGCCTGCTGGCACAAACATTCATTTTGCTACAGTAACATTTATTTCCTTTCACACAAGCGTCAAACATTAAAGCTGCTTCTAAAATAAGATTTTATGGAGATAATTTGTGGTGGTGCTGGCAGAGAATTTGTCTCTCAAAATATGCTATTATTCTTTATCTAGCTAAGGTACTTATATAGTCTCATTATGAGAATATGTGAGCACTTCATAACCTTTACTGGATTTATCTTCCCAGTTTCCTTCCTGAGCAGGGGAACTCATACCACCCCCACTCTACAGGTGGGGAGCTGCTCTACCAGGCAGGCTGTGGGTTTCAATTTATCTTTTGCGGTGCCTAAGATGGACCCAGGTGCCCACTGTGACATAGAGCTCGCAGTTCCCTAGGCACACAGTGTGCACTAGGTGTGACATTTGCCGAGGTGGCTCTTAATGCAGCCCCCGGCCCTCTTCAGTGAGAGAGCAGAGGAAGAGAGGTCAGGCTGACCCCAGGCTTCTGTGGCCAGCTTGTGAAAAACAAAGGAAATCTTTGCTTTTATCTGGAATCCAGCTAAGGGGGAAATTCTACATCTTTTCTCTGTAATTTGAGAAGAAGGCAGACCGTGCCTCCTAGGAAGGGCTCAGGTAGAGCTGATCCCAATTGAGTATACGGCAGTCTGGATGGCTTCTTGAAGTCTTTCCCCATCTTGTCTGCAATGGCCACTTCAAAGAAAATGACAGTCTTTATCCTCATAATTTTCTGTAACTGAACACCACATCTCTGACCCCGTAATTCCTGTGTGTGGGGAGTGGCTGTGTGGGTCCTGGGCCATACAAGGTCTGCAGGCATGCTAGGGCAAGAGAAGTGAATTGGGGGCAGTCACCATGAAATTAAGAACAGCTCAAGTGAGCAAACTTGCTTTTTTTGTTGTTTGTGTTTTGTAGCCTGCTCCTGCTGCCAAGATTGTCCCTATAACCTCCAGCCCTTGATTTCCTTCTTCTGGCCTTAAATTCACTGCTTTTTGGATTAGACAAATCTGATACGCTGTGCTAAATATTTTAAATGTGGCAAATGATCCTTCATCGCAGAGTGGCATGATTGCATTACAATGTATTAGAACATCATGACTTTGCCAGAGGGTGTTTGCTGGCACCGTTCCGAGTGAAGGAGGCAGCCCAAGCTTGAGAAGTAACTATCGAGTCATTTATCAACATCCAGTCCTAAAACACATGGGATTGCACCAGCTTGAGCAGCCTTCAAGAGAGAAACCCTCAACACAGACAGACCTTTGAGGGAGTTTCTCAAAATTCAGTTGTATCATAATGTCAATCTGAACCCCTGTGACAGATTCAACACGTGCTTTTGGTATTTATTCTCTTGCATTTTGGCTCCCCTTTTAGGTTTAAATGAAATATGTGCTGCTTCTCAGTCTCTTGGCAAACCTGTGTAGAGGGCTGATCTGCTCCCACACTACTGCATCATCATGGAGGGTCTCCGATGAACCAGGTGGGATCGCAGAAAGCCAAGGCGTGGTGTCTAGAGCTTGTTTTCCTTCATAATATCCTCATAGGATGGAGGCAACTCAGTTCCCCCAAGGCTGAACCGGGGGGCAGGAGGAGAGGACGTCTCCATGTTCACACAGGGGTTCGGAGATCTGGAGAACGGGCACTGAGGAGCTTCACTGGCTGAGGAAAGAGCAAAGATGAAATTGTAGAGCAGACAGTGAAGAGCAGGCGTGGGGGTGAGAGGGGTGAGCTGGGGAGGAGCTGCCAAACCACTCGGGAACAAGAAAGGCATGGATGTAATTTTTAAATCACAAAACCTCTCACCACAAACTCCAGATGCAAGAAGTGAGAACAGAGGAATTTGGGTGGGTTTGGGTGGGTCCTCCCAGTGGAGACATTGTTTGTGGCCACCCAGAAAGCAGGCTGTACTTCCTCTGGGAAGGGCTCAATGCTGCCTAATGACAGAACGAGCTTTATTTTTCCTGGGGGGCTGTTGTCTGGCCCATCCTGCTGGCAGTACTCCAGGTCAGCACTGGGTGCTGCACACAGTCATTATAGTCCTGTCCTCAAAACTGTGGGTGTTTCTGGGGGAATGCTGAGGGCGGCTACTGTGATGAATAACATCCACTGAGACAGCCTCCTGACAGACCCCAGTGTGCATCAGCCAGGCCAGCTGCCTGCTGGGGTGGCTCAAGTAGACCAGTGTGGTCTTGTCTGGGTGAGAAATTCAGGTCATGTGTTGGAAAGGGCTGCCTGACCCCTGAGTATGTTGGGCTGCCAAGTGCCCTAATATCAAGGAGAAGGCCCCACACACCTCTAGTATCAGCGTGGCCAAGCCTAGAAGGCACCTTCGGGACATATGGACACACAGGGACAGCCACAGCCCGGCTCCCACTCAAACCTGACCACCTCTCACTGGGTTTTGGATGGGCCCCGTGGGACCTTGCAGAGGGCAGGGAGAGGACTAACCGCAGAAAGCATCCGAGCTGCTGAGCGCGAAGACGGCCAGGGTGCGTGGGTGAAGGAGGCAGCTCCGCCGCTTCAGCCAGCACTGCAGGCAGCAGCAGATCCCGCAGGACAGGAGCAAGGCCAGGAAAAACAACATCAGGAACCTGAGGCAGAGGCAGCAGGGGAGGAACGGTGCCATCACCATCTGTGGGCAGCACCGGCAGATGGCCGCCTGTCTCCAAATTAACATATTCATTAACGTATTTTGCAAATAGCCGTTAAACGTTGCGGTTCCCCCATCAGCGTGCTGGACATGATCAAAGTCCTGGGAAAGCAACGTCTCAGTGCCGCGTGCTGGCTGGAAATTCTAACATTTCTCTCTGAAATCATTCATCAGGTCTGCCCAGCTCAGTTGTCAGCGTACAGTGAGGATATGGATTAATGATTCCCATTAGTCAGTGAAGACAGAACACAGGGACAGCCCAGGAGCAATGCTCTCCAGCTATCAGTCTCTCTTAATGCTTTTCTCTCCATATATCCATCAAAGAATATTATTTGCCAGTTTTCCCTCTAAAACAGAGCTGAGCTGAAACTTACCACACATACCAGCTGCTGAAGTTTTCATCGTCCTGCCCAACACACCTAACAAGGGAGAAATACAAGGAAGCTTCAGTCCAGCAAGTGGGGACCAGACTGGCTCCAGCACACGTGTCAGCATAAAGAAAAGCATCATCGGTAACTACATGATTGAGAAGTTCTCCTCCATCGAGGGAACCTGATCAGAAGTTTCTCTGTTTGGATGGGAGCAGATGCAGATGACGCACAAAGCAGTGTGCAACTGGTTTGCTTTTCCACACCAGTACCCACTACCAGTGTTTCTGCCGAAAACCCAGAGGAGCAAACAGCTGACAGCTTCCCATTCCCCTTTGAGAAGGAAAGCCAGGCAGACAGTTCCTGAAAGCCCAGTGTGGGAGCAGCCACAGCCGCCTGCCCGTCCCTGGCTGGCAGTGCGAAGGAAACAGGAGAGACACACTCACCTCTCACCAGGCTCACAGTTGGACTCAGAGCCTGCTAACTGAAAACACACGTAAATCAGAGAGGGCAAGTTGTGCTTTCTGTTGTTTTCGTTGCTTTGTTTTAAGCCAATATAATTACTGATCTTGTCTTGGAGAGGAAGAGCAACAGAGGTGCTGGCTCCTGCATGGATGAAAACTGCTGCTCTCTCCAGGGACTGCTGCATGTGTATTGTGCTCTGAGCTAGCCCATATTAAAATCAGCGGATAATCTCCCTGACAGCTCAATAAATTCAATAGTTAGCAGATGAAAGCTAAACCAAGGGGGAAGCATTTCATTTTATGTGAAAAGAGAAGGCTGAGAGCAGGGAGACACAAGCAGGTATCAGAGACCTGTTTACAGAGCTGGACTTTACTCTTCAGAAATGTCTGCTGAAGAATTTTTCATGATTAATTCTTGGTCTGTAGCAATTTTCCATAGGTTGATTGTGAATGTAGCTGTAAACTGGAGTTGTTTTGACTGAATATGTGCTGTACCCAGCATTTTCCTTTTTTTGGATAGTAGTAGTGCATCATTCCCAGAGTCAGGTTTCAGGTATGTGTATTTGTAACTGCAAATATGTGAACCTGAAACTTGTTCTTCAGGTCTATTTCCTACTCTCCACTAAAGCAAGTTTGCTTTTGCAAGCCTTGTTGATCTTAGCCTCAGTTTCATATTATCTGAGCACAAAGTAATCGGAGTGGTTCATCAACAAGATTGAATCAAATTCGTTAGAATTTCTGGACAACTCACATTAGATGTGTTTTAACACTTGGCCATCTTTGCTACAAAAAGAAATCAAGATAGGTATAGAATTGCGATAACACCAGGAAACAGAATAAACAGGATGGAAGAATGCAGGTGCATTTCTTGGAGAAAACTATTAACATAAGTCATGTATCATTACTTTACTTTGGATTTCCTTGTCTGTATACCCAAAAGATATGGAGATTTCAGACTTTGAGTGAAACTAGAAAGCTCTAATGAGTAGTAGAAATTCGTATCAAATATGTATATTTGAGAGATCTTATATAATAGCTCTTATTAACAAGACTTCTTGTGTCTCTATAAGCTGCAACAAATGACTCCACAAATCTGTCTGATCCTGTGCACACTGCTTTTCAGTTTAATGGGGGCAGGATCAGTCCCTAGTTTCACCAGAAGTCTTTAGGTATAACTTTTTCATTATCTATGAAATTTCATGAGCAGTTGAAACTAGAATGAGGAATAGGGAAGAAGAAAGAAGCTTCAAAATGAACTCTTCCAGACGTGTCCTTTGAAAATGGAGCTAATTTGCCGTGTCACACATGTACCCTGGTGCAGAATATTTAAGATTTTTTTTTCCACTTCAACTGATTATTAGAATAACAGGTCAAAACCAGACAGCCGATTGCTGTGATTACGTGTGCCCTGAGTATTCTTCATGGCTGAATGACAACCTCTGGGCTCTCCTTTATCATTCTTCAAACTACTTCAGCCCAGCTACCACTGCATGGTTAAGCTGCAGCAAAAAGCATCTGCTCTGAGGCAGTAATCCATCAATGCAGCCAAACGCCCACCCTTGCTGCAGAAGACTCACGCTCTTCCATTTCAATAGCCATAGATAGAATAAAAGATTAAGGCAGTCATGCTTTCTTTGCCCCTTAGCTGGAACTGTTGTGAATATTAAACACTCCCCAAATTTACCAAGTAAAAAACAAAACAAAACAAAACAAAAACAACCAAACAAAAAACCATGTTGATTACATTCTATAAAAGCTGAATCTTTCTCCCACCTCCAATTCCCTAGAATCCCAGTGAAGGGTTTGGTTACCTGGAAGAAGGTAAAACACAGGACCCCAGCTTCTGTGATCCATGAAGTGAAACACAAAGCTCTGGGTCTCTGCATCACTAACTGGAGAAACGCGGGAAGAGCTGGGCTTGCAGCACTGTTTTACCCTCTGCAATTTGAAGCTTTAAAAACTTCTCTGCATATTTAGCCACAGAGCATGCTACCCAATGGCTTCCCGCCCTTTGGAAATTACAACTAACCAGGAGGGAATGAACTCAGGTTTGCATGGACACACTCAAACAGCTGCTACAAGTTAAATGAACATTAGCCTAAGGTCAGCACTTTGCAGGTGTTTCAGCATTTTCATAGCTGTTCACAAATTCCTGTTGCTGAATTTCAGTTCCATATTAACCAACACTGCTATTTAACAGGATCTGCTACAAATAAAAGATCACCGGAGACCATACTTTGAGGCTGTGCTTTCATCAAATGTTCCCTTCAGCTGCAATTCTGACATTGCAGGAAAAGCATCTCTGCCTCCAGCCACCTCCATGCCCCATGCCTCTGGCCTCAAACACATGCATTGGGGATGAAGGAAACCCTTCCCAGCCTGAGGCCACCTCCACCAGCACCACCACTGCTGCACACAGCTGCCAGGGGCTGACTGGAGAAGAAAATGACACATCAAGAAAAGACACATCCCGAGTAGTTTTCGTAAGGGACACCAAATTTTGCTGCAAGCACCAATTTCATCCCGACTGATAGCTATGCCAAGATGATGAAGTTAAAACTGGGGTGGAAGACCACTTGCACCGTACCTCTGATCACCACGAAGTGGGGATGATCTCAGTGTGTTCGGCAGTCAGTAATAGATTGTCACAGAAGTTTACAGCCCTTGGCAGAGATGCATCATTAGCTACGGTTCTTCCAGGTTTAACACAAAGGGTGTTGCTGTGAATATGTTTAGCCATCGCTCCAGAAGTTAAGCATTATGTCGTGGTGCCATTAATTCAGTAATGATTGACAAAGCTAAGTTGATCTGGAGGCATGTCTCCATAGTTTGTCTTCAGCTAAGAGGTCAAGAACTCTAACCAACTTAGATACATGCTCAAGCCAGGTTTCTTATTTATTGTTAAAGTTTTAAATAAACACAGTCCAAACACTGGTCTTCTCAAACGTGTATTTCAGCTGACTGCTAATTAAAAGCAAGTCTCTGAAATGATGCCTTCTGAGAAAGCACTTCTTACACTGTTGCTAAGTGGATGCACTACACAATATAAATGGTCTGAACATGTTGGTGTCCTGGTTCAGACCAGTCCTTTTCAATTTCGTTCAAGAGGGAAATGCCAAAACAATTTCTGAGCTGTTTTCTTAAAAGAAAAAGGTCCTGCAGTATAAAAACGTGCACAGCCTTGCTGGCAATCTTGTGACTCTTACAGTTTCAAGCTTCAAAGAGATCATCCGTCAGTGAACTAATTTCAGATTTCTTCCTCTCACAATTAATTCCCTTGAAGCTCCCTCCTGTGCTCCAGTGAGATGCTTCTATTCGTGCACCCAGAGAGCTCCCAATTTACTGCTGCCCCATGCATTATCTCCAGTATTTAGGGAGGAAGTTAAGTGAGCTCTCAGTACTGAAAAATAACGCATAGCTGCTGTTTGGGGCCTACTTCTAGAATAAAAAGGTGAGAATTGAACACTGCCACTACTCAGCTTCCTGGCCCAGGGGCAAACTTTGCAATTTTCTGTTGGTTGGTCCCATACAGAGGTTTCAGATGAGCAGACAAGGACCTGACACAAAGCTGAGAGGAGCTCTGCACTGAAACCCATGGGAGGCTGCAACCCGTCCTGCCTCATCCTCTGCCTTCTGCCTTGGGGGCTTTGCAAAGCCCAGAGACTCATCTTCTGGGTAACCTTGTGTCTGAGGGTTATTTCTCATCTGAGGGATTTCTCCAGACTTTTTGTCATTCCTTGAGGATGTATATACCTATACATGCATATATATACACACACCTATATATGCTTATGAAGGCAATCCCTACTCCCTTCTCCTTGGGTTGGGTTTCTCCTTCTCAACCAATTGCAACCACCCTATCAGTGGACTTTGCAGGCTGGTCTCTCTGATAGCTGTTGACTCATGGCCATTAGATTAAAAATCTGTTATTTCCTCATCACCTTGTGTCGTTGCTAGGTGATAAATGCATCTCCCAGGCAGCAAGAGGGACTCCTGCAACATACGGCAATTTATGACTGTCCATTATCCCTTCTGCTTAATGGGCCTGGTCCTTTCGATGGGAGGAAGACGTGCAACTCCAGGATCATCCAAAGGGTGATTTTTAAAGTTACCACAGAAACCAGCAGGGTCTGGCTCTTGCTGGGTGCCATGAGAGGGGATGCAACAGTGGGAGATGGGGAATCTGGGGAGGATCAAATCTGGCAGGGCCAAGACTGGGTTAGGGGTCTGCATTTCAGGAACTGAGCTTATTCTTGCATGTACATACCTTGTTTGCTTGAGTGTCATAAGACAATTTTCACTTGTACTTTTGGTTTGAGCCAAAATTGCAGGGAATAAGTTGAGGACCTCTGGATTTTGGTGAGAGTGGGAGGGGATTTGCCAGCAAGTAGGAGCCCACACAGAGCCCCTGGCAGCTGATAAGCCCAGCTAGCAGTTTAAATCCATTTAAAGCTCTTCTTTATCTGTCTTCAGAACATTTGGTGGCTGCTGGGGATGCTTTTTGAGACAGCAAACACATTGCTGAGTTCTGACCAACCTTCCAGTAGAGTCCAGCATGGGGCCATGACTTTAAGAGAAGAGAGGCAGGACAGGCACGTATAGGATGTGAGAAGGATATGGGTCAGGATGGAGAATGTGGAGAAATGTGATGTGGAAAGAAGATGAGGAAAGGCGGGGCAGCGTGATGTTGTTAATTAAACATATGTTGGCTTTTTTTTTTTTTTGTCTGTGTTTTCACATAACCACCACAATCAGTTTCTTCGTCCAGCACGTCTGCTGGGAGCTCCCCTCCCTGCTCGACCTCACTGCTGTGGTTGGCTCGGCCTTTGCTTTTGCAGCTGTGTTCTTGGCACCTGGGTTTGGTCGGACTGCAGTCATCCTCCCAGTGTGTCCTGGGAAGTCTTTGTGCAGGTAAATTCAGTTCAGTCCAAGAGAAGAGAAGGATAATGGGAAGACCAAGGGATGAATATTGCCTCTCTGTGACAGGAGAGCTAAAGGAGCATGGTTCTTGTTCCCACAAAGCGAAAACTGCAAGGAGCTGATTGCTCTCTCTAAAAAAAACAAACAGCATGCTGGGGAAACTGCCCCAGTCCATCCTTAAACCCCCAAACCCATCTACATACGCAGAAGTCAGCTCTGACTGCTCTGGGCTTGTGTGAGCAAGGCAGCATGAACTCTCTAAAACAAACCTTGGTGGAGCTGGCACAGCTTGTTGTCTTTCAAAAGGATTATAACTAGTTGCTGCTCACTGATGAATACGGCCCTTTGTGAGCCTGTGCGGGGGACGTGCTGCACTGGGGGAAGGAAAGACTCCGGGCACTAATTTAAATGAGTGCAAACAAGGATAACGTTGTTCTGCTGCATCCTCCCCAGGAGCAAGGCTCCGCAGGTCACTCTCACATCTGAGTCAACTGCAGCTCGCTGCTGTTCCTGGCAGTCCAGGGAGCCCTTCTGCCTGTGCGGGTGTTTCAGCAGGGAAAATCCAGCAGAGAACAAGGGGTCAGAGAAGCCTTTTGCCTGGCAGAAAGCTAACGGAAAAGGAATCTCCTTTTAGGTTAGTTATTCATAAAAGGGATTTCTCCTCTATGTGAGTGCATATCACGGACTGAGAAGTACAGAAAACTGTCTTCAGCACTTATGTGTTCACAGAGTCCTCAAATCCCTAAATTGCACATTCATGGGAAGTCCAATCTCTAAAACTCTTCAAAATAAAAAGTCCACTGAGCAGTTGTGAGAAATTGCTGTGAATTGTCCAAAATACCCCCTGTTCCAGCCCTATAATGAGCAAATGAAAAATAGCTACTGCAACAACTGAAATATTGAGCATACATAAAAGGATTTAGTCAGGAACTTTCTTGCTCTAATTTACCAGGGGAAGCAGCCTTGATTAGTGCACCTTTGGAGCAAGTGCCTTGTGTGTACTTACAACTCAGGTACCATCTCTGATCTCACCATGAAAAAAAAAGAAAAAAAAGAAAAAAAAAGAAAAAAAAAAGAAAAAAAAGAAAAAAAGGAAAAAAGAAAAAAAAGAAAAAAAAGAAGAAAGCCATGCATGAACAGTGTTGCAGTTTTGTGGAGAGCTGTGTTGTGGTGGGGCAACAGCAAGCTGAAAGGATGGAGAAAAGTGTTTCTTTCTCCTCTTGCAGTGGTTTCATTTTGAAAACTTCAAAATCAAGTTCTTAAAGAAAAAAAAAGCGTAAAAATAATGTAATTTGAGCTAAACCTAGATGTTGTTTGGTTTTACAGCAGGTGGGAGAACTCAGAGCTCAGAATTACTTTTTAAGATTTGTTGCACCTGACAAATGAATGGTAGTTTGGCTTCTCTTATTTCTGGCTTGGACATTAGGACTTGAGATAATTCCCAGCTCTGTCACCAACTTCCCATGTAACCACTTCTCTGTATCAGAGTCCACATGAAAAAAGCATATAAGAGACCTTTCTTCCAGCTCGCTGACTCTCCCTCCCCTAGAGCATGTCAGAAATCAGTTCAAAGGGTTGGATAACTCTTGAGAATTGGTAATAGAAAAGTACAATTAGAGATAAAGCTGATAAAATTAAAAGGAACTTGAATAAAGAGAAAGATAGGGTATACCAAAAATACATGCAAAGTACTCACCAGCAGAAATTTTCCCCTTCAGGTTTTTAATGTGAAGTTGAAGCTGATTATGGCTACTTGAATCCTGAAGCCTGCTGCTGTCTCTTTGTGTTCCAACAGGTCCTCTTACTTTTAATCAGTTAAAATTGTATTTGTATTTTAATCATTAGAAATGGTATTTGCATTTTAATTCTTTTTTTTTTTTTCTTTCTTAATTTCCTTTCATTTTTTGTTACTCTGTTGCCAGGAGCTAAGAAATTACAGTTAAAAAATTAAATGTCTTTTGTATTTTAATCCCTGTAATTTACTTAGCTGCTGGAAGTAAAAAGACAAAAGGGGAATAAATTGCTTGAAAGCAGATAGAGGCTTCATTTTCCCCTGCCTTTGAGTTACTGATATCACATTGGACACCACATGGGAGGTTTTGGCTGAGAAATTAG